TCCTCGAAAGAGGTGTTTGATCACCAAACACTGTGCAGATATTTGGAAAATATATTATTATTATCTGTATCAGGTATTCTTATAAACCAGAGGGCAATGAGATCTGGCGTCTCTTGATTCTCTATAGCGGTTTTCGACTAATAGTTACTGTTAACAATGTAGGGTCAGTGAATAATAAGTCTTAAATTCTTAAAAATTGATCGGGAAATTAAATATTTATCTTAGATTACATAACATTTTCGTAGACTAAAATATTTTAAAGATACCTTAGTATTACTGTAAATTGATTAAAATGTCCTCGCCTACTAGTTTGCCTGGGAAACAGGCTGGGACTGTCATCGAACTGCGGGCGAAACGGCCGTTTTCGTGGAGTGAAAATACTAAAACATGCCGTGAAATGGTACAAAAACTAAGGTTTTTGATTTCTGTTTCGACCCAGCCGTCTATAAGCTCGTTGACAGTCTCAGCTATTTTTTGTATCACGTGAAAGTTGCATCCTGGGAATTGGATTTTGAACGTGGTCGGGACAGATTATCCCGGTATGGACCGGTTTGGTTTCCTTAGTGATTTAGGGTTTAGGAATTTTCTAGTTATTTGTCGAAATAGAAGATTAGAAAAGATATCTTTGGATTTCTGTACATGACTACTTTCACTATTGATTTTTTGCAAGCCTCGAAATTAAAAGCCTATTAAGGCATCATGTAGCCTCCAGGCTCGACAAACCCCGACAAACCACGACAAACCCCGACAAACCCCAACATATCCCGACAAACGGGGTTTGTCGGGGTTTGTCGAGGGGTTTTGCCTCGGGCCCACCGGCTACATGAGGCCTTCTTGTATAGTGTTTTTCCACGTAAGCTTGATGACTCCGTCTCGGCTTTTTGTTGGGAGACTCAAAAAAAAAGAAAAAAAAATAAAAGAAAAAAAAAACCTCCAGGCTCGACAAACCGGAAACCCCGTCAAACCCCGTCAAACCCTGACAAACCCCGACAAACCCCGACAAACCCCGACAAACCCCGACAAACCCTGACAAATCCCGACAAACCCCGACGTGTCAAGATATGTCGTATCATGTCGGGCCCACCGGCTACATGATGCCTCTATTAGTTGTTCTGTAGATCTAATGATTCCAAGTTTACTCCCGTTTAATTCTCCACATGAACTAGTGAGTTAATTGGTTCATAGTTATGAATCGTCAAATACTCGTGAAATATCCGTGTAGTGGAGCATTTGGACAGGGCCATTTACTTTGTACTCAGGTCACAACAGAGATATTTTAGAGGTTCATCGGCTCACTCTTGAGTGTCGTTCATGTAGAATCAATTTATAGACCAGCTTGTGTTTTGGTCAAATCTATGAATCTGAGTGCACGTATTTCCATAATACTCTCGAGACCTTTAATTCGAGGGGATTTCCCTCCCACTCTAATGTAGCCGTCCAGCTCGTAATAACAAACTCATGACGAAACATTAGCTAATAATGGAATTAAATAAATTAGCAAACACCTAGACCCCTAGACGATCAGCCAAGCAGCCAGGGCTGCGCTACAACAAAGAACAACGAAGGACCACTAAATAACTGAAGTAATGTGCACGCCAGTAAACGATATCCCTCACCTTCTTCCTGGGTCAGGGGTCTGTTGCCATAGCAACGAGGGAAGAAGAGCGGCAGCGGTTAGGGTGGGTTTTGCAATGGTTAATGATTTTACCGAAGTTTGCTAAAAACGTCGGTGAATAGTATGTCATAAACAGCCAATGATCAGCTATAATAGTACGGTTTATTTTACACGGTGACTCGTTCTACTTGAAACTGTCTCAATGGTAACAGAGTTTAAAATGTTCTTACTCTTAGTCTTAGTCTTACAGGAGATCTACACGGTGAATGTAAGTGGGTCTGGGAATCTATGGCGTAAGACTCTACGGTGGAAAACTTTACGGTGGTGCCGTACAAAAACAACAGGTGTAAAAAACAGGACTATTAGGTGGCAAAGTCTATAATCAGGCATGAGATAGTAAGATAAAGAACTTAAGAAATAATGCGAGCAAACAAATGTTATATTTTTTATCGATATTGATAAATTGGCAGGTGTCCCTCATTAAATTTATGAGTTACAGGAGTTGCAAGAGTGGCAAATTCGAATTCGAAACAATAAATTTGGATTAAACAGTTGTTTGCCTAAAATTTGTGACAAAGAACAGGCAAGGGGATATACAAGGATTTCTAAAGTTATGATATTACACGATATAAATTGTGTCAGTGATCACAAACGCCTGTCCTATCCCAGTACAGGTAAATATCAATATATAATCAGGTACTAGATAGTAAGAAATAATGCGAGCTCTCAGCATATATCTCAGAGTCAGTATCACTATCGAAATATATTGTGGATTGTACGACTGAAAGATGAAGTTTATTAAATTCCGAGACAAAATATTTAACGGCAGCTTCCTGAGAACAGAACACGGGGATTTGAAACTTAAAACACACGAGATAGCCGGAACCAGTACAAATGAGTGAAGCTATATTTTAACTAATTATTCTTAGAAGACTGTTCATGGTTTAGTTGACTCTGAGATCAAACCTTCACTACAAGAGGCTTCGTCATAAAAGTAAAAGTTGAAAGTATACGTGATCCGGATGCAATAACAGATATATTGAACGTTCAAATCATTTTACACCTACGCTAAAAACTTGTCCACCAACACTGTACAAACTACAAAAATATTTGATTGGCAGACGGATAGATAAAGAACGAATTATGAACTTATATAGACCACAGAATGATCGTTGAATATCATAAAAGAACGGCACAAGTGCACAACACACAAAGGCGATCTGAACTGATATGGAAGTTAGACCTAGGCAAAATTGAAAGAATCGCACTAACTGGGCCGCGCTCAGCCTGTCATTCCGCCTAATCTCTATTAATGAACATAATAGCCTGGGGTCCTCAGGTAAAAGCAAGCACTGATAACAGAAACAAAGAATCATATTTCACTTGTGTTGTTCCGTTGACCAAAACAAATGCTAACAGACTAGATGGTTGATGAAATAAGCCTCTTGACTCCCATTGTGTGAAATTACTAACACTAGCAGTAACCGGTGTTTCTTTAAGGTGGGGTCAAGAGACATTAGACAATAAAACACGGAATTAAAGAGGAATTAAAGAGGAATTAAAGAGGAATTAAAGAGGAATTTAAGATGAAATTACCAAGGAGAACACTAACGAACTCGTCTTGGCTATACATCAATTAGAAAATGTTATTTATTAAATTTGAGATTTTTACACAACTTGGCCCATTTAGATGAGCTATACAATACTCTGTAAAAGATAACATAATATAGAATGTAATTGTCTGGGAGGATGACTGTAGATTTGGGAAAAAAAGTATCCTGTGGTTAAACAAAGCACAGATACTAACAGAAACAAATCAAACGTTTGGTTTGATCCACACTACTGATATGTGAGATCAGACACAACAAATTATGACGCTCTCAAAGCATTTCACAATAAAGGATAATGTATATACATTAACTCCCGATTTCAATTCAGGGAGACTAATCTATTCTTGCAAAAATGTTAAAACAAACTAAATATTTTACAACATCTAGGATTAAGGACAAAGTGACTAATATAGAGTACGAGAACACATGATTTCCATCACAATGCAATCTATTAAATAAGTAATAACTAGGATTAAATATCTTAATCCATCATCAAAGATTGTACAGTATGAATATCAGACCATTAAAGTGTTTTTCTACGATCCAATTCAGAATTTGACACTAACTGTCAAGGAAAAAGGTGCAGGGCAGAACTAATCTATAGATCACATCTAAGAGATTTCTTTCGATCACAGGCCTTCTTTGAAAACGACAAAAAGTAGCCGGGCCCGAACAGGCAGTCCGAAAGAAATAAAAACTATAACAAACAGACAGTATAATGGTCAACATCAATCTGACATATTTTGTTCCTTCTAGTACCCTGAACCTCTTGATTTGGATTTAAGTAACACGACCTTAGTTCGGAAATTTAATTCAAATGCATAGCATGAGTATATAAAAGAAAATTTTCAGATATAACTGCAAACTGATTGACAAACTAAACCATCCCTCATCAGAGTGGTAGTCATGACAGGACCATGTTACTTTGATATTAAGTAAAGCTAACTTCTTTCGCTAGGGTCTTTAAACGAAGTAAATGTCGGGCAGCTAAATATAAACAGGTGTAGACAACTGGACGATTTTTTAAAAATGTCGTACGAGCAAGAAAAGGTCATCAAAATATATTTTAACTACAGGAACAACATAAACATGAAGCATGAAGGAGGTACCGATGTAACTGTGCAGTGTGACAATACGAGGTGCAGTGAGCAGCACATCACTGATGACACTCATATCGCTCGATTTTACAATCCAATAATCAAATTTTACAATCTAACTCAGCGCGCGGCTCCTCTAGCTAATACGTAACTTTTCTCCAATTGGCAGTTTGCGTGCACGTGTCTTTTCTGAGGCCCCAATTGGTTCTAAATGATCACGTGAATGCTGGTCACGCGCACATCAACTTCCAATGAGCGTACTGCCATTTTTTCTGAGGCGATGGAGGTCGTAAATCACTCAGCCCGAATATAGATTTGGCGGAATGACAGGCTGAGCGCGGCCCAGTAACGCGATGCACTACTGGGTCGCGCGCGCATCAAATAATGCTTCTCTTCGGTAGATCGGCGAGATGCACCACTGTGCCTCACCGAGCTGCGAAGGATTGACATCGTGAATCAAATAATGATCTAAAATAATAATGACATAATATTGTCATAATCATCGATCATACCCGGGAGACGGACGCGCGCCACTGCAAGGGCTCTGGATAGAGCAACCCTAGTATATAGACTAGGTGACACATGATGATTATGTTTTCCATCAAAATCTCAGTTTTTATTGATAATTTTCAATTTTATCATTATTTGAAAGGTAAATCACGTATCATTCATTTTCAGTTCGATATGGAAATGCAGAAAGAAGTCGAAATCGCTGCAGCACTGAAAGCGTACTACCCTTATACCTCCAAGGCAGAGAACGGTCTGCAGCCCATGCAGGCTATCGAGATAACCTTGAACAGTAAGTTATTCTTTATCTGACATGTTTTTCTGTTGAAGATATTTGTCTCGCTGGCCTTGTCTATGAGTTTTATGTATTTTCTTGACTTGTCTATTCTCTAAGACTTTAAATGCATTAGATCGAATTGTCATCTCACTCATTAATTTCTCAGCGGAAAAACTAGCTGCAATGAACGAGACAGCATCTTTGGACACCTATCTTGATTGCAGCGCTTACGTCAACGAGGAGAAGATCGAAGATTCAGGCGACGCCAACTTCGAAATCAGATACTCAAAAGACACGATAGCCGATGAATAGTTTGGATGTGGATTGGAGTGAGTCGGTGAAAGAGATCTGTCGCAGCCGTGCTGATAAGATCTACACAAACTCTCGTGATCATCTGATTATTACATTGTACATAGCACATAGGTTACTATTATGATGAGCTAGATTATGATATTAATCTAGGAATTTGAGAACTCGTTGCAATTGTTGAGTATAATACTTTCTGATATGAAATCGTTTCACGGTAAAACTTGTTTTACAAAGTTTCCATTGTCTGGTCCGAGGTCTGAAATCGTAACCCCTCTTTAGCTTTAACACAAAATATAAACATCTTTCATAATATTATAGTATATGCTATAATGTTAAAACTGTTTGGTTGAGCTTAACGGGTGATACTCGTAAAATATCTGTTCCACTCGGCGCGCGTCCTGGTAGGTTGTAAACCTACAAGGTTGAGCACGATCAACTCCTACCTAGCGCGTGGTAGTTGCGAGACGAATTATTGTATGCGCGGCCCAGTAGTGCGTCGCGTCGCGCTACAACAAAACTACACGCTCGTGATTGAGCGAGCGCAGAGCGTGCTAAATCACTCTACAGTCGATCTTCGAGTTTGTTCTAAAAGGGCCCCCGACAGTTGAAACCAATCGGAATCGATTTATCTTCGAACGCTGATTCAGAGTCACCTCCATGACATAGCACATAGGGTTAAAATCTGACGGATGTTACTCGTCTAAATTTCTTCGAAGAAACGTGCGCCGCTTTCTTACTTGTTTCTTCTTGAAATATTATGGCCCGATAGAAAATGCTACGAAGTAGCGCACGCCGGGCCAAACCACAAACTATTAACAATGGTCAAGGTTAAAATGCTCCCCTGGAGATATTCCCAGAAAACCTTACCATAGGGGTCGTTCACATATTACGTAATCAGCCAAGGGGGGAGGGGGGTTTATGAACGCTCCTACTAAATATTCGCTCGCCTAAATTTTAATAAAATCTTGTGAAAAGGCCCTTAAGGCATGAAAGTGATGTAGATCGGTGTATTTTTGGACGCTGATTCCGAATCACCCCCATGACGTAGGGTTAAAATGCTTCCCTGGAGAGTTATGGGCAAAAAACCGTTTTGGTCACGTGACAGGCTAATAAAACGTGAATTCGATTATTTAGGGCTCGGGTTAGGGTTAAGGTTGTGGTTAAGATTATAGATAGCTTCGGGGTTATGGTTAGGGTTGGGATTAGGGTATATATATGTAAAACCGTTTTGTACGGCTGCAAAACCAAAAAAACCAAAAGTCACGTGAAATTTTTGGGCGAGCGATTTAGTAAAAGCCGTTTATGAATGCTTACGGTTGATTACGGGGGGGGGGGGGGTTTTGGTCGTTGATTACGTCATCAAAATTGTCCTTTTAGACCAAACCAACTATATTTACCTCAATTCTCTAGTCTTTTCAGACGCAGAATCTTCTACACTCTCTGACTTCTTCTGATGTCTGGGACTTACGACCCCAGATGTAGCTTTCAACGACGTTTTAAGGGCCCAACGTTCAGCTGTTCATCAGGGTTAAACTGGGCAGGGTCTTTCAGCCAGCTGCCAGTTGTCACTCCAGGTCTTGTTGTAGCGACTAAGCCAGATAGTGTAGGAACCTTTCAGGGACACCACCGCTGTTGTGTTAAGTGCCCTCTTCTTCTTTGCCCGGGTGATGTTAAGGAAGTTGAAAATTCGGGGTAATGTGTGGTGGTAGAATCCACGACATCCAACTTCTACTGTAAAGAGATATCCTTCCCAGCCTGCGGTCTCGATCTCCACCATTAGCTCTTCGTATCTCTTCTCTTTCCGGGATCTCTGGTCCTCAAAGTTCTCCTCGTTTCCACAGGTCAGCTCTATCAGGATGACTTTCCTGAGTGTGTTAGAGTATATTACCACATCAGGTCTGAGAGCTGTGTTGACAATATGTTGGGGGAATTGTCTTGTCCTTTCGTCCTCATCAAACACTAGTTTCCAGTCGTTACCTTCCTCTAGAAGATGAGGTTCTTCTGTAAGCCGTACTTCGGGTTTCCTGTAGGTTCCTTTTCCGGATACGAACTTCCTCCACTCTCTCTTTACTTCTCTCTTTGGGGTAGCACTGTTTATCTCCCTCAGCTTCTCTGCAATTGGTTGCACGATTACCCTGAGCACCTGATCATGTCTCCAATTATACCTTCCTTGTTTAAGCGACACTGGGCAACACGTTAGAATGTGCTTTAGGTTGCACTGCTGACGCCCACAAAGGGGACAGTTGTTCGTGGAGCTGTAGTTCCAAAGCTGGAGGTTGCTAGGTGTACTTGCAACGTCGTGGATGGCATTTAGGTGGAACTTTGTCAGCTCGGGGCTCAAGGTATACAGCAGGCTTTGCCAGCCAGTGTCTAGCTGCATGGTGTTCTCCCAGGTTAGAAACTTTCCTTGGACTCTCTTATCGTAGAGAGTTTGAAGGAGCTCCTCTTCTTTCAGAGACTTAATTATCTCCACCAGTTGCTCCTTTTTGTTCTTCTTCCTCCTCTGATCACCGAATCCAATACCGGCTCCTTCCCTGGTCTGCACGTAGCCAATCAGTTCTTTGAAGTAGAGGTCTCTCTCCCTATTAGTCAGCTCCTTGGTGTAGTCCCATCTTTTCTTGTCTCTGTTGGTGTTTTCTCTGTACTCGAAAACCTCCCTCACTTTGGGGTCAACCGATGTCTTCAGCATATAGGCCTTGGACACCTGTAGACATTTGTACAGGTTGGAGATCTGCTTTAACGATAGTCCAAAGTGGTCTTTTGATCTGTACAGCACACTGTTCGATATGGAAGTAGTAACTCCAAGCCATTTCTTCAAGTATCTGGTACAAAGAGCCTCTAGTGTCTGGATGAATGATACTGGGAGGTTGTATATCATAATATTCCACTGTACTTTGCTAGTTAGCATGTGGTTGTAGATCCAGCACTTGCTTGGTCCAGAGAGCTCCGCCATGTCTACTTTTTCCAGCTGGCCTGAAAGTTGAGTGGTGATTAGCTCTCTCGTCTCATCTTGGCCCAGGTTGACGTAAATCCAGTGACCAAGGAACTTTATCGGTGTGTCACCAAGGTACGCTACTTTCTCGTTTGCAATGATGATCTCAGGGTCAAACGATCTGTAGGTATTGTCCACTACCTTCATTCCGAGAGCAATACACTTGCTGGGTTTAGCTCTCATCGTCCTTGTCCATGCTAAGAATTCCTCCATTTGCCCGACCAGCCTCTTCATTTTGTCGAGTCTGTCAGACAGCAGGGTGAGATCATCTGCAAAAGCTCTGTTTGTCGTTGGCTCAGAGCTGAACGACGGCTTGTATCCCATTGTTCTGTCGACCTGAAGTAAATCCAAGAGTAGGTTGAATGCTATTAAGAATAGCACGACAGAAAGCGGGTCCCCTTGAAACAACCCGATTAGGTAGTAGAACCACTCACTCTTCCACTTCTTCGTCTTCACCCGTACTACCAGTTCGTCGTAGTACTTGACAATATATTGGACCACTTCTTCTGGGAACTTGTAGTGCCGAAGCGCAAACACTATCAGCTCATGGGGTACTCTCCCATAAGCATTCATAAGATCCACCCATACTGCATACACCTGTCTTCTCTTACTCTTTGCATCCCGCAGTTCCTCCATGAGCGCTTGTGTGTGTTCTATGCATCCTGGCATCTTGCGCAGGAAGCCTTTTTGCACAGAGGTATCGATGTACTTATTGGTGGTCATGTAGTCGAGCATTTTATCAGCTAGCATACCCATTGCCACTTTCCCACTGGTGTTAGTCATAGTGATGTTCCTAAACTTGCCAGGGTCACTAAGGTCCGTGGTCTTGGGAAGTAGGATGCTTTCTCCAATTCTCCACTGCAAGGGGACACTGTTTGATAACCAGAGTTTACTAATACACGCATACAATAGTTCTCTCAGCCTGGCACACCTTTTGTAAACTATGTATGGCACTCCGTTGGGCCCTGGTGAAGATCCATTGCGTCGTGTTTTGATCTTCTTTTCAAACTCTTCGTAAGTAGGTACTGTGCACACAAAGGGGTACACTGGGTCTTTGGCATCTGGTATTCCTGCCATCTTTTCGAAGACATAACATCTATCTCGGTCCATGTATTCCTTGGGGTAGTATCTGTCAGCCTCTTCCTTACCGAAGGTAGGCTCTCCCGAGATCTTCTCATCAAGGAGTCTTTTACTGTAGTCATAGGGGTTCCTCCTGAAGCGTTGGGTCTCCTTCTTCTTTTCTTTCTTTTTCCTCTTCTTCAACTGTTCACGCCTAGACTTGTTGTGGATTCTCACTAGTCTCCAGTACTGCGCTCTTACTGCTATACTACTACTATAGAATAATAACAATTTGACAATATTTTAATTCAAATTCCACTCAATTTCACTCTGATAGTGATAAAATTTAGAAATTTATCGAATATCCGGCTATAATAGTAAGTAGTCTAAAAGGTGCTTGGCCGGATATCATAACAATGAATTCGGCTCATCAGGGTAGCATGAAACGTAGAGAAAAGTGTTTTCTAGGAAAAAGTCAAGGGGGGGGGGGTCAGGCCATGATTACGTTATAATTATATTGCTGTCAGGAGGGGGGGTTGGGTCTTGATTACGGTTGATTACGGAAGAGGGAGGGGGGTAAAAATCGCTAAAATATTGATTACGTAATATGTGAACGACCCCATACCGCCTGCTGGGCTCGCTAGAGGTGATAGATTTTCAACAGCACGTTTGTTGTCGCGCGTCACGTCAAGTTTACCTTTTGCACGTTGCATTTAGTCTAGTAGTCATAACAACGACATCACTTTGCAAAGTTTAAAAGCTGTGATCTTTTATTTAGCCTAAAATCAAACTTTTCGGTTTAATTCAGAATCTAAGTTGTCCTTACCTGGGGACCCCAGGCTATTATGTTCATAAACATAGCCTGGCGTAATTGAACCCTCTAAAACGCGCAAATAGGCGCGTTTATCATTTATGCGATTTTACAATCAAATAATCAGATTATACAATCAACAATTTAACTCAGCGCGCGGCTCTTGTAGCGCATTCGTGACTTCGTTCTTATTGGTAGTTGGCGTGCACGTGATCTTTTGCGCGGTTGTAATTGGTTCTAAACGATCACGTGAATTCTAGTCACGTGCGCTCTAACATCTAATGAGCATGCGCACTTTTTTCAGGGCGATGGAGGTCGCAATTCACTCAGCCCGAATAAAGATTCGGCG